TTGTTTCTTTTTGAATATTCCTGTTTATGTTACTGATGCAGCTATAGCGGAAAAACTTTGTGGTTGGGGTGTGAAGCCTGTTTCGCCAATATCAAGAAGATCTTTTGAATTTAATGGTAGAAGGAAATTTGATGGTACCAGGTTTGTTAAAGTTGAATTTACACCCAATGTGCCTAGCCCTCCATATGCAACGGGTTTTGATGGTGTTTCCTATCTTGTCAAACATGATGACCAGGAAAAAGTATGTTTTCTGTGTCTGAAACCAGGTCATGTTTTATCAAATTGTCCTGACTTTAAATGTTTTAGGTGCTCAAAACAAGGTCATGGCAAAAGATCATGTGAAGCAATCTTTTGCAAAAGATGCAGAAGGTATGATTGGCAGTGTGACTGTGTTGTTGCTGAATCGACATTGTTTGATGATGAAATTGTTATTGAAAATTATGAAAAGGTTTCCATTGGTGCAAGTTCTTGTGACTCTGGTGGAAATGGTGATAATTCTGTTAATGGTGATAATCATGATGGAAATGGTGATAAATCTGGTGGAAATGGTGATAATTCTGGTGGAAATGGTGATAATTCTGATGGAAATGGTGATAATTCTGATAAAAATGGTGATAATTCAAATGGAAATGGTGATAATTCTGATATGATTGATGGTAATTCTTATAAGAATGATGGTAATTCAGAAAATAATGTTGGTAATTTTGATAGCAATTCTGGAAAAAGCAATATCAAATCTGATAATATTTTTAATAAAACTTTAGAAAATGTTGTTGCAAATGTAGACGCTAATAGTAACAAAGTCTACCAATGTTTTTAAAAATGATAAACGTTTTGAAATTGAACAAAATGAAATTTGTGATAAAACTATTAATAAAAATGATGTAATTGTTAGTTCTACTGGTAAAAATGTTATTTCTGATCCTAATGAAATTAGTGCCCGTAACGTTGATATGAAATACGTTGGTTCTTCAGAAACCACTGGCCATGAAGCTGGCGGAAAAGCTGATGATTATTATTCTGAAGGTGCCATGGAGGTTGCTGTAAGTGTTGATGAAACGGGTGAGTTATGTGATGGTACAAAACTGCATGATTCTACGACTGGTGTATCTCAAGGGAAGCACTATCGACGAAGAATTATGGTTACTGGTCCGTCAAAGAGTGCTGTTCTTAAATCTGCAAGAAAGAAAGGTAAACCAAAAATTAGCGATGAAAGTTTGAAAAATAGTTACAAATTAGGTGGCAATACGCAATCTTTGACACTCAAATAATGTTTTTAGTGTTATTTATAAAACTATTACTCCTAAACTTTTTAATAATGGTTAAATTAGCAACTTTAAATGTGAACGGCTTAAACAGCATAACAAAATTCAATAAGTTAATCGCTAGTTGTCGTGAGAAAAATTTGGATATAATATGTGTTCAAGAAGCTCATTGGACAGATATTTTCATAGAATCATATGGACACTTGTGGGACGGAGAAATTTTCTATTCCAACTGTTCTGGTGGGTTCAAGGGCTGTGCAATCCTTATTTCAAAACGTTTCGCAAAACATTCAAGTAAAGTTTATAGTGATAATTCAGGTAGAATTATTGAGTGTAATATTTCTCTTGATTCTTTTGATTTTAATATTGTGTGTATTTATGCCCCGAATGACACTCATGAACGTTCCTCATTTTTTGATAGTGTTTCAAACCATTTAGATGGCTCTGTGAACTATGTTGTTTGCGGAGATTTAAATGATGTTTGCTGTTCGTATTCGGACAGGTCGAAAAATATGACGGCATATGGTCGTGTATCAGATTTGTTGCCCAATTTCATTTTGAACAACAATCTATATGACATTTGGAGACGAAAGAACCCAGACAAAAGGGAATTCACTCGTCAGCAAGTATTTAAAGGTGGGCTGAATCAGTCAAGAATAGATTATATACTAGTTACCTCCCATTTATTAAACTATATATCTTATTGTTTTATTAAGTGATCATAGTTTTGTAACAGCTCTGTTTAATTTTAGTCATCCCGATAGGGGGCCTGGTGTTTGGATCTTTAACAATTCTTATTTAAAAGATCTTAAATTCTGTGATAAGATAAAAGATGTTCTAAAGAGAGAATTAGAAACTGATTTATATCTTAATGAGCCACTTTATTGGTGGGATAATTTAAAATTCAAGTTTAAGCAGGTTAGTATTCTCCATGCTCAAAGTGAGCGAAAGAAACTGCAAACTGAATTTTGGAATTTGCAAACTGCTTTGAAATTTCATTATGGCAAGGTGAGCAAGAATCCTCAATACGATTTCAATCCAATTTTTGAGTTAAGAGAATCGCTAAAGAAATATGAAACTTTAAAATGTGATTGAGCAATTTTGAGATCGAAGTCTGATAAAACAGTTGAAAGCGATAAAAATTCAAAATATTTCTTAAATTTAGAAAAGTCAAGGTAGGGGGCACATGTTATCAAAAATCTTAAAACGTCTGACGGTAATTATGTTTCTGATATTGTTGATATATTACATAAATCGGTTAAATCTTATACCAAACTTTATACTAGTGAAGATGTGAATTTGAATGACCAAAATACTTTGTTCAATTTAATTGATAGAAATATTGATGAAAATGAGAAATTTATGTGTGATGACGATTTAACAGTAAATGAACTTCATAATTCCCTCAAAGGTATGAAAAGGGGTAAATCACCTGGTCCCGATGGCATTACTGTTGAATTCTTTTTGCATTTTTGGGATGTTTTATCGCCTGTATATTTTAATGTCATTAAAACTATTCAGGAAAATGGTTCTTTAAGTAAGACGATGCAACGCGGTAATATATCTTTATTTTATAAAAACAGGGGAGATAAATGTGATCTAAAAAATTGGAGGCCAATAAGTCTACTAAATGTAGACTATAAAATTTTTCTCTAGAACGTTAGCTCTACGTTTGAAAAATGTAATAGCATCAGTTGTCTCCCCTGAATAAAGTTGTTGCATACCTGGACGAGACATCGCTCAAAATGTCTCCAATATAAGGGATATTATAAGTTTTGTAGAACTTGAAGATTTGCCCCTTTTCATACTAAGTTTGGATTCCGAGAAAGCTTTTGATAGAGTTTCTCTGCCATATTTATTTAATCTTTTAAGTCGATTTGGATTTGGAGAAAATTTTGTAAATAATATTAAAATTTTATATAATGGTATTAGAAGTTCGATTAAGATTAATGATCATGTTTCATGCCCCTTTTATATTACTCGTTCTGTTAGACAAGGCTGTCCCATTTCAGCGTTATTGTATGTTCTTACAGCAGAACCCCTTAATTTGTTAATTAAGTCAAAACCGGATATTAAAGGCCTGCATATTCCGGGGTGTGATCAGCCGGCTGTAATATTTCAACACGCTGATGACACCACTCTAACAGTAACTGATACTAATTCTATTAAGTCTGCTTTATCGACCGTATCTGTTTATTGCTCTGCATCAGGTGCCAAGATAAATGCCGAAAAGTCTGGAATTCTTTTGACCGGAAGTGCTATTTTAAAAATTGATGATAACATTCCTGTAAAAGTTGTAGACGGAGCTTCCAGATTTTTGGGAATTTATCTTGGCACTGATGCTAGAGAATGTGAACGTTTAAATTGGGATGCAAAGGTTTGCAAAATTCAGAAAGTTTTAAATATGTGGCGCCAAAGGAAACTTAATCTCAGAGGTAAGGTTTTAATTGTAAATATTGTTTGTCTTAGTGTTTTATGGTACCCACTGAGAGTGTTAGATATGCCTGTTTGGGCTTTAGAAAAAATCAAAAAGTCCATCAAATCTTTTATATGGGATGGAAATCCACCATTAATTAGTTTTAAAACATTAATAGGTGATCAATCAGATGGTGGTTTAAACTTAACTGATATCAAATCGAAAGAAACTGCTTTCAGAATTGTTTGGTTGTCCAAATATTTACTTTGATCAACAGATGCGGTATGGAAATATTTAATGACGTATTTTTTAAGCCAATATAGAAGTTTTTTATGTTCTTTTGAGCTACTTTTCATCAAATACTCTGATTTTTATCTGAAGAAGTTACCCCCATTTTATCAAAGTATGCTTAAGGCTTGGAATATTTTTTGTAAGGGAACGAGATCATTAACACACTCTTATTCTAATGTTTTAAATCAGCCAATTTTTGATAACCCGAATATAGTAGATAATGATCGTTCATTATTTTTCCAAAACTTTGTTGACGCGGGCATTGTTAAAATTTCGGATATATGCGTTAAAAATGTTTTTTTACCATCTGATGATATTTTTATGTATATTAGTGATCACGTTCCCAATTCCTCTCAGAAAAGAGTTTTGACCCAATACACGACTATTATTAAATCAATTCCTGTCGAATGTAGTTTTGAAATTTCAAAATGAATAATCTGTGATAAATGAATATTTCTATTTTAAGCTCTTGTATTTTAAACTTTTAGATTTGTAATTTATATGTAACCTGATTTTATAATCCTGTTATAATTGTTTTACATGAATAAAAAAAAAAAAAAAAAGCACTTGGGTATTACAATATGTCAGATATATTCAGGCCACTTCCCTTAGATATCGTCGATGATATAGATCAATTTGCAATCAGTATACAAAATATAGTGATATGTATTTACGAAAAATACCGCTACGAGCAGGATTTGAACCTGCGCGGGAATATCCCATTGGATTTCGAGTCCAACGCCTTAACCACTCGGCCATCGCAGCTGGGACTTTTTCGGTCCAATAAAGCAAGGGCCTCATACTTTTAATATGCGATATATAAAGCGATGAGAAAAACTAGAGCATGTGCAGAAGTGTCTTGTTGAAATTCAACTACAAGTTCAGCACTTGGATATTCCAATATGTCAGATTTATTCAGGCCACTTCCCTTAGATATCGTCGATGATATAGATCAATTTGCAATCAGTATATAAAATATAGTGATATGTATTTACGAAAAATACCGCTGCGAGAAGGATTTGAACCTACGCGGGAATATCCCATTGGATTTCGAGTCCAACGCATTAACCACATTTTCGGTCAAATAAAGCAAGGGCCTCAAACATTTCATATGCGATATATAAAGCGTAGGTTTACAGTAACGGTATTTTATTTCATCAGTAAAACTAAAACATAACAGTAACAAAATATTCGAGTTCAACACCCTCTGTGAAGCTCACAGAATTCCATACTGAAACTTTGTATGGTTAGATCAAATTCTTCTGTAATTAAGTTGTTCCCATCATCATTTGTTCGCCGACTGTCTTCTCCTGATAGATCCGAAATAATACCATTTACACAATCTTGTATTTCATTCCACCTCTTATCACGGAAGGATTGTACCAGACTACGAAAACCTTCAATAACACACTTTCGCAAGATAATTTGGTATCCACCACTAATAAACCTGGTGTCCGTTCTTGATGATATCTTGTTATTTAGCTCTTCTAAATAGGACTCTGGAATTAAGAATTGCATATTAGTAATGGAAATACCTAAAATTTCTTTTATCGAAAACGGTTGGATTGAAAGATAGCCTATCTAAATGTTTGTGGTTGAAAAAAGTCAAGGGCTTACCTATTTTTCTGAGTTGTTGGACAGAAAAGTCGTGGCTTTTCAAAAGAGAGCGAAGTTTGATGGCTGCGGCAAGAGTGTCCATTTGATATTGTTGTTGGAATTGAATGGGCAAGTCTGCAAAAAGATTACAGAATGTCTATTTGAAATTAAATGTTTTCGTTTATATATCACAAACTTAATCTGAACGAACTCAGATTTTATTTCAATAAATAAATCTAATCAAGAGCCTAATCGGATTGTTTGATCGTCAGCCCAATAAAGATACCGCATCGACGGTAAATTTGTTAATCTTTGTAAACTAATCACATTTCCGAAACCATGTTTTCATAACCTTTGAAGCCATTCAGATGGAAGAAAGACGCGAGAACATCAGCCGTAATTAGTTTACAGTGATAAAAAAAATACTTAGATTCTCTCCGAAACGCTCTCAAGAATATCTGTATACAAAGTCATAGAATTCATCATCGGGAAGAAAGTCAAAGATTTATTAAGGAAAAGATAACTACGTTTACAGGTAAAAAAATAAATAATGATTCATTTCAAAAGAGGAACTTCTCTATGGATTTATATATTTACGGTGTTGCGGTTAAAATATCATCACTAAAAACTTAAAATATCCTGTCTACATTCTTTGATCAACAAAATGCAGGCTATTCTTAGAAAAAAACGTCTCGTAGAGGAATGATATTAACAATTATGCTAACTCTGTATAGAGGAATGATATTAACAATTATGCTAACTCTGTATAGAGGAATGATATTAACAATTATGCTACGAACTGGATTCGAACCTTCGTTCGGTTTATCCCATTGGGTTACGGCTTAACCACTGGTCTATCTTGGATCGGTCTATTTCGGCTAAAATTAGCAATGACTCCCAACTCTTTAATCTGAGAAACCAGACTATGAGAAAAACTGGAACACGTGCAGAAGTGTCTTGTTAAAATTCAACTACAAGTTCAGCACTTGGATATTCCAATATGTCAGATTTATTCAGGCCACTTCCCTTAGATATCGTCGATGATATAGATCAATTTGCAATCAGTATACAAAATATAGTGATATGTATTTACGAAAAATACCGCATCGAGCAGGATTTGAACCTGAGCGGGAATATCCCATTGGATTTCGAGTCCAACGCCTTAACCACTCGGCCATCGCAGCTGGGACTTTTTCGGTCAAATAAAGCAAGGGCCTCAAACTTTTCATATGCGATATATAAAGCGATGAGAAAAACTAGAACACGTGCAGAAGTGTCTTGTTGAAATTAAACTACAAGTTCAGCATTTGGATATTCCAATATGTCAGATTTATTCAGGCCACTTCCCTTAGATATCGTCGATGATATAGATCAATTTGCAATCAGTATACAAAATATAGTGATATGTATTTACGAAAAATACCGCTACGAGCAGGATTTGAACCTACGCGGGAATATCCCATTGGATTTCGAGTCCAACGCCTTAACCACCTTTTCGGTCAAATAAAAGCAAGGGCCTCAAACTTTTCATATGCAATATATAAAGCGTAGGTTTACACTAACGGTATTTTATTTCATCAGTAAAACTAAAACATAACAGTAAAACATAACAGTAACAAAATATTCGAGTTCAACACCCCCTGTGAAGCTCACAGAATTCCATACTGAAACTTTGTATGGTTAGATCAAATTCTTTTGTAATTAGGTTGTTCCCATCATCATTTGTTCGCCAGCTGTCTTCTCCTGATAGATCTGAAATGATACCATTTACACAATCTTGTATTTCATTCTACCTCTTATCACGGAAGGATTGTACCAGACTACGAAAACCTTCAATAACACACTTTCGCAAGATAATTTGATATCCACCACTAATAAACCTGGTCTCCGTTCTGAGGATATCTTGTTATTTAGCTCTTCTAAATAGGACTCTGGAATTAAGAACTGCATATTAGTAATGGAAATACCTAAAATTTATTTTATTGAACACGGTTGGATTGAAAGATAACCTATCTAAATGTTTGTGGTTGAAAAAACTCAAGGGCTTACCTATTTTTCTGAGTTGTTAGACCGAAAAGTCGTGGCTTTTCAAAAGAGAGCGAAGTTTGATGGGTGCAGCAAGAGTGTCCATTTGATATTGTTGTTGGAATTGAATGGGCAAGTCTGCAATAAGATTACAGAATGTCTATTTGAAATTAAATGTTTTCGTTTATATATTACAAACTTAATCTGAACGAACTCAGATTTTATCCAAAAAAATAAATCTAATCAAGAGCCTAATCGGTTTGTTTGATCGTCAGCCCAATAAAGATACCGCATCGACGGTAAATTTGTTAATCTTTGTAAACTAATCACTTTTCCGAAACCATGTTTTCATAACCTTTGAAGTCATTCAGATGGAAGAAAGACGCGAGAACATCAGTCGTAATTAGTTTACAGGTGATAAAAAAAAATACTTAGATTCTCTACGAAACGCTCTCAAGAATATCTGTATAGAACGTCATAGAATTTATCATCGGGAAGAAAATTAAAGATTTACTAAGGAAAAGATAACTACGTTTACAGGTAAAAAAATAAATAATGATTCATTTTAAAAAAGGAAATTTTCTATGGATTTGTATATTTACGGTGTTGCGGTTAAAATATCATCACTAAAAACTTAAAACATCCTGCAGTCTACATTCTTTGATCAACAAAATGCAGGCTATTCTTAGAAAAAAACGCCAAGTAGAGGAATGATATTAACAATTATGCTAACTCTGTATAGAAGAATGATATTAACAATTATGCTACGAACCGGATTCGAACCTTCGTTTGGATTATCCCTTTGGGTTACAGCTTAACCACTGGTATATCTTGGCTCGGTTTATTTCGGCTAAAATTAGCAATGACTCCCAACTCTTTAATCTGAGGAACCAGACTATGAGAAAAACTGGAACACGTGCAGAAGTGTCTTGTTGAAATTCAACTACAAGTTCAGCACTTGGATATTCCAATATGTCAGATTTATTCAGGCCACTTCCATTAGATATCGTCGATGGTATAGATCAATTTGCAATCAGTATACAAAATATAGTGATATGTATTTACGAAAAATACCGCTACGAGCAGGATTTGAACCTGCGCGGGAATATCCCATTGGATTTCGAGTCCAACTCCTTAACCACTCGGCCATCGCAGCTGGGACTTTTTCGGTCAAATAAAGCAAGGGCCTCAAACTTTTCATATGCGATATATAAAGCGATAATTTTACAGTAACGGTATTTTATTTCAAACTAAAACATAACAGAAAAACAGTAACAAAATATTCGAGTTTATTAACATTCAACACCCTCTGTGAATATGTACGGTGTTGCAGTTAAAATATTATCATTAAAACTATGAAAAATCCTGTCTGCATTCTTCGTCAGGATCAACAAAATGCAAGCTATTCTTAGAAAAAATCGCCACGTAAAGGAAGGATATCATCAATACTAATCCTATCTTGACTTGAAATTGACGCCGAAAATTTGAGATTTTTATCGTCGATTAAGGTGCGGGCACACGATCGGTCTTGGTGGGTTCAGATGAACTCCGTGCTTCCACGACAGGATTTATTGGCTAATAAGTTTGATAATTATTTCCGACCGACTGAAGATTTTTGTCTCCTCATGTGCCCGTGCCAGTCGTCGAAATTCATGACAAGACTCTAGTCGGAGATATATAAATCTCTCACCACCGTTCGTATGCCAACACTTTTATTCTTTCAAGTGTATTATTATCCTTATTTTTGTGTCAGAAAAACCTAAAGTTCCTCTTTTTAAATTCTAAGAAGTAAAATAAGTTAATAAAATTTGGAAAAACGAAATCGCTGCGAGCAGGATTCGAACCTGCGCGGGAATATCCCATTGGATTTCGAGTCCAACGCCTTAACCACTCGGCCATCACAGCTCGTGCTTTGAATGAGTTTACATTACATAAAATTGTAACTATAAATAGAAACACATGTACGTAACCATGATTGCATTATTTATTTTTTTTTTTGTCTTTCTTGCCTTTGATTTGATGCGTTTTAATATTCAATACCAATGTTGGAATATAATTCAATACGATTCATTGATAGTAAATTTATCTATAAATTCAAACTATTAACTGATTTTATTCCCCAAATCTTTTAGTTACGTTTTTGTTGCTGTTGGCTACGAAAAGAAAAGACTCATTTATCTAGATCACAAACATGGAGTCGGTGTCGACATTGGTAAAGGTTTCTTTGCCAAATTATCTTCGAAATTTACCAATACCGAACTCTATATCAGGCTTTGCAAAGCTTTCTGGTGTGTTATTATTGATTTCATACGCGTGGTTCTCTGTGTGTATTACTTTAGAAAACTTTGCGAGGTTGTATATTCGTAGCCTTGGTTGTCAAAGAATGATAATTGATACACCGATAATTATCATTAAGTCTGTTAATAAAGATAATAGACGACTTAAAATTTAATAAGAAGGACTATGATTAAAATGTGAAGGTTTCTGAGGTGACAGTTAATATAGACTCTCTTCTTCTCTCCCATAAATTTTGACCGAAATTGTTCTGAATTATAAGATAAGTTTGTCCCCTTTTTGCTTTATAACAAATTTCAAAATGAAAGTGCCATGGCAAAGCTCTATATTTTTATCAATGCAAAGTCATTCTAAGATTATCAGTTGACCAAGATATACTACTTTGAAGGTGGTATTATAATAGATCCAAAATATCTGCCTCTTTTCAAGCCTCTGAATCTGACAGATTTTTGACAGTGTTATTGAATGGAGTAGAGTCAGAAAAACTAAGCCCAGTTTTATGGGGATTTTCAACCGCCAAAATCACCTCCTTTATGACTGTAAATTAGTGTTGGGTATCATAGTAACTTTTGTTTTGTTTGTTCATGTGACTTTGTGACACTTGAACTTTTGGCAGCTCACTAGTTTTAAATGGATGACAAGAGATGAGTGTTTTAAAAAAGAAATTGATAGAACGTGACATAAATGGTGGAGAGAAATATGATGGTATGACTGAACTACAAAACTATTCATCTTTCTGGCTGGTCTCATTTAAGTAAAAAGGTTTAGAAACCCTGCACTCTCAGAGGTGAGGAAAAATTCCCTTCAAACAGGGCCTAGTTTTTCTGTCTCTACACCAGCCAATATTTCAAAATAAATGGAATCTTAAAATTTGATTTATGGATGAATACTTTATTCCACTTATTAAGATAGGAAAGACTTCTGAACCCATCTTTTTTGCCCGACGTGGAGGCTTTTTGACTCAAACAGACACACAAGAATCCCACTCATCCTCCATGCCTCCTAGGGAGCCGGGGTGGCTCTGTGAGTTCGACGCTTGCTCGCTAACCTGAAGGTCCAGGGTTCAATCCTGGTATAGGTCGAGATAATACCTTCGGATTTTTCAACCCGGTTTCCCCCTGTCAGTGATGCAGGTACGAGGGGCTGACATGGAAAAAGCATCTAGTCGTTTAGATGGGACAATAAACCGAGTCCCCGTGTGCTACAGGCTGTGCACCTTAAAGATCCCTCAACAGTTGGAAATCGAAAAAGAGCAGGCTAATGCCGCTGTCTTGGCAAAATTTCGCTCATTGCACCCTGCATGGCGTTGCCCATCTTCATTAGCCCACATGGTGCAGAAAAGTAGGACGTAAAACTCCATTCATTTCATTTCATTTCCATGTCTCCTAGCTTTGTACAGGTTTGCTATCTGTTTTACCAGTTGAATCTTATCTTAAGTTTCATGATAATTTTTTTTAGCAAAGCTAAGTAGTAATAGTATTCACTTTTGAAATTTGAACCTTTCATGTTTGTCCAGAAATATCCTCGTTTGAAAGTTGAAATGAGAACTCCCTCAAAAAAAGACATTCCATCATAAGATAGAAATAGAGAGAGAAATTCCAAGTTTGCGGTATTTTTTAAAATCAACCACTGAAAATGTAGAATATGACCCTTTAAATGCCCATCCTGATGTAGTGCCTATTCACTTATGGTTTTATCATCTTTTTATACACCCACATTCAAATGTAGACGCATATTGCCATCGCCCCTGTCCGTCCCTCCTTCCGTTAACATAACTAGATAAGGGCTACAGTTTTTATTTATAAGTTCTAGAAATTACAGCATAAGCAAATTTGGCATGTTAATAGTTTTCTGTTGAAATAGAAAGATTAAACACTTAATGGGTCGTTAAAAAAAGAAAATAATTGAAAAGGAATTTTTAAGGAGAAATAGTAATATTTACTGTAAAAGAGTGAAGTACGGGAATTGAATGATGTACTAGTAATTTTAAACCAATTTTACTCTAACTAAAATGAAATCCTTTAATGTGGTTTGCTCATATTTATTCAATAGTGATCTCATTTATAATTGGAAAAAATTCAATTCCATTTTGTTTTACCAAATACAGGAATGAAGCTCTGCCAGTGACCAGTGTTTGTAACTGCTGCCATCTGTTGCTTTATTTTGCAGGCTCTGATTGGTTGTCTTTAGTACCATTTGTTGGTACTGTATCATTATTGGTTTATGTCACTTTACAAGCTTTTAGACAAAAGTCACCAAAACCATCACCATTGGTAAATCTTAAAGTACAAAAAGAAAGCTCTAAAGTAGTAAATATGGTAGATATAGAGGATTTAGGTGATAAAGTTTGCTACTGTAGATGTTGGAGATCAAAAAAGGTCATTTCTTATATTTTATTTAAAACCTCAATTATAAGTTGTGGAATTTTATAGTTTATAAGATACTTGGAAATAAAGAAAATGTAAAAGAATCATCAAGGGAAATTTTTGATAAGCAATCATATATTGATATTGCATTTTATATTTAATTGAAAAATACACTTATCTCCCTTGAACCCATTTTGTTTTTCAGTTTCCTTTATGTGATGGCAGCCATACCAAACATAACGAAGAGACTGGTGATAATGTTGGACCATTAGTATTAAAACGCAAAGCATAAGCTCAAAATTAAACTCTTTATCCAGTTATAGTCAATTTTAAGTTTGAGTGGAATTGAAAAATAAAGATATCAGTATATAATATCCATTAGCATTCCTTAATCAGTCTACATTGCTCTTGCACAGTTAATTTCTTGGAAACAGTTGTAATCAGACATTTTCTATATTTTTCTTCAGTTTTGAGATTCTCTCATGAATACCAAACGTCAAGCAGATGTAATTTGATATGCATTTATGAATGGTTTATTCTGCATTTTAGTTTCCACATTGATTTAAGTAAATTGGATGTTAGAAAACTTTAAATTGGGATACTAATAAAGTGATACTTTTATGAAACTAGACTCTCCTCAAAAGTAAGATACTGCAACTTTAAAGCAATTTGTGTGGCTCTTCTCCCTTTTTCTCAATTACAGAACAGGGTTTCTCATCAGTTTTCCAGTCAAAGTGACTCATATTGCAAATTTATCTTGATTAGCTTAGCCAAACCTAAAATTTGGTGTGATAAATTGATTATCAAATGGCTCTAAGTAACAGTTTGCTTTTCATTAAAACAGAGCCGTCATGTTCTTTGTCGCCCTCAAAAACATCAATAAGGTGACCAATGCCTATGTCATATCTGTCATAACTGTCTTTTATTTTTTGTATTCTGGAGCCTATTGATAATATGAGATCTGCTGTAATATTTTTCAGAATATTATGAAAGTTTCAAAATTTCTATGGTAAATTTCTTTAGTTCACTCGTACAAATAAGAATATCATTTTGTGATTATGATTTTGTGTTTTGCATTGATTAAATTTGATTGTCATTGCATATTCTCCAAAATTACCTTTTTAAGTAATGAAAAACAGAAGCTTATTTCTTTTCTTTTATGATGTTTAAGATCTTATTATATTACAAAAAGTATATTTTTAAGTTTGATTTAAGTTAAAAATTGTTATTTATGAAGTCTATGCATCACAATACTATTATGATTAAATGGGTTGTTTCACAAATACGGTTTTGTATGTGGTGTTATGCTTTTGTTATGACCTTTTCTAATAAAAATGTATAACATTTACTTGTTACTGAAGATTTTTTGTTAACAACAGGCTGTTGCAAACATGCCATAGGGCTCGCTCGCTAACCTGAGGGTTCAGGGTTCAATCCCGGCATAGGTCTAGATGATACTTTCAGATTTTCAACCCGGTTTCCCAGTCAGTGATGCAGGTAAGAGGGGCTGACATGGAAAAAGCATCTAGTCGTTCAGGTGGGACAATAAACTAAGGCCTCGTGTGCTACAGACTGTGCATGTTAATCGAAAAGGAGCAGGCTAATGCAAAATTTCTCTAATTGCACTCTGCATGGCGTTGCCCGTCTTTATTAGCCAACATAGTGCAGAAAAGTAGGACGTAAAACTCCATTAATTTCATTTCATTTTTGCAAACATGCCATAAACTGCAATAAACGTCACAAATGAAAGTGAAAAAATAATGATACCCACGTTCATACCCATAGTCAACGGTACTTCAAATGCTCTTGTATAATGAAACATAGCCAAGGAGTTGTAATTAATTACCCCCGTTTCACTTTACTCAATTACTAAATGCTCATAAGGGATGCTGCTTGAAGCAGGTTGCTGTGTAGGATTTTCTACGAAACTTAATGCCTGTTTGGCGGAACGGTTTTGAAATAATACAAAGTGTTGTAGGCTTAAATTTCCTGCTGTGTGATCCTATAGCCTTTTTCTGCCAACCGCTCGTCGTAGTAGCAGGATAATTTAAGATCAGTCTTTGCATTCCTCACTTCAAGTTGGTTGTACTATGCTGAATAGTAATGCTGAATTTCTGTGGTCGATCTTCACGAAAATTAACCTGTCTCGGTGCAATCACATAACACAATAATAATATCCAAAACAATCCATCAAAAATTGTCAGCTGTAAGTGAAAACGAAGCGGCCTATTAAATGGCATCTTTAGATTGTGTGTTTGAGCAAATGAGTGATATTTTATCAATATGGCCATCTTTTAAACCTGAAGGTTGATGTGATTTGAAGAAAATTTAAATGATGTATACAGTGTATTGTTTGAGTGTTATAAACCAGCCTACAACCTGTTAAACTGCACTCGTTATATTAATGACTAAAATAACCTGTTTAATAATTTTAACAGGAAGTAGGTTTATTCATTTGCCCTCAAGGTGAAATTTATAAATTAATGTTAATTGAGGGACTGTTTATTTTTCAAATGCACTTAAAAGGGAAACCTTATTATATTGAAAATGCAAGTACTGTTGTACATTGTACGATTGACATTATTGTCCAGTTAACAATATATTGTAATGTACTTGATATTACATTGTACAGTTGTAATATTGTATATTATAATATTTTACTTGATACCATATTGTACAGCTGATATTATATTGTAATTATACTTGATATCTATATATTTATATATTGTATTGCACTTGATTCTATATTGAACAGTTGATTATATTATAATTGCTATGTTGTACAATAAATGATATTATACTGCAAGTTATTTGATTTGGTTACACAACCATTTCACTAAACAAGGCTTTTGCTTCCCTCTCTATTTGGTTTATGGTATAGTGAACACTTAAATGGTTAAAAAAGTGAAGCAATGAAAAAAATTTCATTTATCCACTCTCGGCCCCCTAAGTTTTTACAGAACATTTTCTATAAACCCTTTCCACCTCTCTATTTCAGGATAAAGTGGTTGTGTCTTTCTGATGTCGCGTCATAAAATTAAATTTCGAATAAAACTGATACTGACTCGTGGAGCAACTAACGCCTATAACAGTGTAATAGTTTGCAATCAGTAGCATTAAAGACTGAAATTTTCCGTTCTACAGTAATTCCTAATAACATATACTTGAATTTAATGTTTGACAAGCACACATTGTTTTTAAAACGAATTGTAAAATTGTATATAACCTCTCTCTAAAAGGCGAGTAGGGCAACACTAGCCTTTTAAATTCACTCCATTTCATAACATTATTATTTTGTCAGGAATATTTTGAAAATCATACATAAATCAAGTTTATCATCCTTTATCAATGAAATTTCATTCGGGCCTAACCACCATAGGAGTAACTACATTCATTTACTGAATACATCAATATAACAGAGCCAATAGACCAGTGGCTTTTTATTCAGTCTATGTATAACATACCAAGCGGTGTGGAGCTGAAAAACCAGTTAACCGAAACATTTTAACTTTTAAAACATTTTTAAACTGTGAAATTAGATAACGTAACAGAAATAAACAAGGATTCGTTGATGCTGTGACACTACTCGTAGATCATAACTGCAATAGACTGAGTGTGGGAACTAAAACTTGTCTCAGAAATGGTAAGGTTGATTTCCTACTACAATTGTTTTCATCATTTCAATACTGTATACACTTGAATCTTATTTTTACTATCATTCGACGTATGATTGGAATGGATGTTTTGATGACACTGCCTTGAAAAATATTATTTTTTGAAGAAATGTAATCACAGAATAGAGAAGAGTTTATGAATTTCATCTATTGTAAATGTACAGTTGACCATCATTCAATTTTTTATCAAAACTCTGGATATTGCTACAAATTATCTTTGGATATAATATTTAAGGAAAAAACTGATTTAATTAAATATACTTTATAAACTTGTTTTATTATTTAGATCAGACAATTAATAAGATGTTTCAATTTGGTGTCTGTTTCTCATATCAATGACGTGTTTTTGCATCACTTAACCGTCATTTATCAAATTAAATACAGAATTAAACTTGTAACAAGTATGAATATTTCACTCTACCGAGTGGTATATTACATCTCATAATTCACGATGCCCTAAAATTCAAGCATGTGAGAATATATGTAGAACAATAGGTCAATGCATCATTCATATGCAATATACCTGCATCAAATTTTCTAAAATATGATCAAAGCAATAAGGATTTGCACTAGTTTAAGTTTTAGCCTTTGATGAACTTTAAAAGCGTGTTCCTAATATACTGAGTAGATCCTTAAAATAAACGTGACAAGCTCATGTTTCGGTTATTTACTTTTGGTGTACAACTGGAATACTTCAGTTCCCAATTGAAACAGTGTATTCAAACTCCCTTGAGAAAATAGTTAATATGGCGCGTAACTGTCCTAGTTAATTTATCAAATTAACAGCATAGTTCATCACATAATAATCGCTATTGTTGACATTTTAATGCTGATTTGTTTTAAAAATAAACTTGATAGTGTCTGAATCTAAAAAAGAATCTAAATAACGAGGGTACACAAAATTATAAATCATTACAACAAGATTCTGAGCCAACCCTTATTTCGGTGTAGTAGATAGGCCCCTTGCGAAATGTTACTGGACTGCAGAAGCATATCTTACTACCCCTATACAAAATATGAGTGTTCTAGTCCGTCTGTTAAAATAATGATAATAGCTTACTTGAGGCTGTCACGTGTTAGGAAATGCTAGTGAGTTGGCATAAGATTAGAACCATATTCTTAACTTTCAAGGGCATGGTTCTTGGCTGCCTTAACAGCTTAATTTCGATACTTTGTACATAAAATAGGTCATTAGTTGCCAATTAAAGGTCAGTGACTACCTTATTGTGACACGTGATATCGTATAAATAATGGTTTATATGGCTGTTTCTAAATGTTTTTAGTATATTGTTTGAAATTAGATTTTGCAAATCAAATTGAGACAAATGTATGCCAAGTATTTCTTATAGTACTCATAAATCCGAAGCATTTTTTATTTTATATTTGGGAGAATAGCCGTGAGCATGAAACATTTTAAATTTTTGATTCCACAAAAAGTAATTGTTTGATGAAGTCACTAATCGACAAAAAATATGCTTGTATCACATAAGACCCTTCTCGATTACTGACATCAATAAACACTTAATTTTAGTGGAATTGCAGGAACTACAGACGTCTGATTGTAAATTGTAATGGTGCATATTGATGCTATCAGTGTCCCCGATACAGATAACAAAAACAATTTGAGAGAAGCTGTTTATCCCTATAAGATGTTTCAATCACGACCAATCGTTTAAATTTTGGGGTAGGGATAATAGGCTTATATGTTAATGGTTTTAGACGTCATAGAAAGAACAAATCGAAGAGCCGAATCTACAGATTATATTTTATGGATACTTGTACATGTAAAAGGATATTTTGTGTAATCTAATTGTGAAATGCATTTTCTCTTTGACCACGTGTGTCCATTGAAGCGATAATGTTGAAGAAGTTTTAAACTCCATATATCTAAAGCTCTTATGAATTGTGTGACTTGAAACAATAATAAGACGATATTTGAATGATGAATGAGTAATAAACTTGTTTTAGTTGATGTGGTTAAGTATTTCAGATTGATCTTTTCCTTTCCTTCCTGTAGCAAGAGAAAGGTCAAGTCGACGCAAATTAAATGGTCGCTTTAGATGGACTTCTTAAAAGATTGTGTAAGCTATAATGCCTGGACAGAAACAGACAATTTCGTGAGCTACCGATCTTTTGTATATGAAATGGTTATTTAGTTCAATCTAGTTGGGAGGCAACTTGAAGTGTTCTGGGAGAGTGAGCATGTATTGACCCACTAGCGACACACGCTTCAGTATTTACGAATATTTGACACAATTGTTATCTAAATTTAAATGAAGTTAACTATGCATGTTACTTTAATCGTCCCCGTATGTTGAAACTTCAGATTTTGAAATTGATTGCATTATGTCGCAACATAGAACTTCAATATTGAAAAAAATTCTAGAGATAGACGAATGTTCATAGTAACAATTTTTAAGTTGAAAAGATAAGGTTATCTTAATGTTCAAAACATAAATTAATAAAATTATAACTGGGTGTTAAAAATACATACATTAAAATATCAGTTCATGACCTAACTAGTAATAAATATGGTTAGACTGATGAACTTAATCTTGATGACATTATCAAGATCAGTGATGGTGAAATATCATATCATGTCATCTTTATACTTGAACTGACTAATAACTCAATACTATTGACCAGTTGGCATGTTATATCTAATTAAATAGG